ACTGTCTGGGCAGGGGCTGCGAGGGTCACGGGGAAGGGAGAGCCTCGTTTCTCACTCTTGCTTTCAATCCTAAGGCAGCCATTGGGCTGCAACGACATCCTCCCTTCTGAGTCAGCTGTGAACCCTGCAGTTCCTACCACTTGCCATGGTGCTTCAAAGTCCATTTAAGGATTCCAGAGTCCCCTGTTTACATGCAAATGTCGTCCTGGTGGGGTAACCCCTTCACTGGAACCACCCAGGATGTCTGCAGCTCAGACGTCCACAAAGCCTCTCAAAGCCTGGCCCCAGCCCGCTGCACCCCTTCCTCCTGCTTCCCCACAGAGACCTTCTGCACCAGACCCAATCTCACTGACCCCAACTGCCTGGCATTTTCCACTGCTTTGCCTCTGCATAAGCCATGCCCCCATCTTGGATATCCTTCCTCCTCCTCTCCATTGACTGCAATGTAAAATATCTTTGACTTGAGGGTGAGCAGTTAAGATGCCACTTGGGACACCCATATCCCATATTGGAGTACCTGGTTGAGTCCCAGCTACTCCATTTTTAAAAAAAAATTATTTAGTTAAAAGTCAGAGTTACAGGGGCCAGCACTGTGGCATAGCAGGTAAAGCTGCCACCTGCAGTGCTAGCAGGCCATATGAGTGCCAGTTCAAGTCCCTGCTGCTCCACTGCCAATCCAGCTCTCTACTATGGCCTGGAAAAGCAGTAGAAGATGCCCTAAATCCTTGGGCCCCTACACCCACATGGGAGACCTGGAAGAAACTCCTGGCTCCTGGCTTCAGATCAGTTTAGCTCTGACCATTGCGGCTATTTGGGGAGTGAACCCGCGGGTGGAAGTTCTCTCTCTGCCTCTGCCTCTCTGTAACTCTTTCTTTCAAATAAAATAAATAAATCTTAAAAAAAAGAGTTACACAGAGAGAGAGAGAAACAAAAAGTATCTTCCATCTACTCGTTCACTCCCCAGATGGCTGCATCAACCAGGGCTGGACCAGGCCAAAGCCAGGAGCCAGGAGCTTCATCCAGGTCTCCCACATGGGTGGCAGGGGCCCACGTATTTGTGCCATATTCCACTGCTTTTCCCAAGCCATTAGCAGGGAGGTGGATCGGAAGTAGAACAGTCAGGACATGAACCGGAGCCCATACCGGATGCCACCATCACAGACAGTGGCCTTAACCAGTGTGCCACAATGACCAGCCCCCAGCTACTCTACTTCTGATCCAGCTTCCTGAAAATGACCACCCTGGGAGGCAACAGGTGATGGCTCAAGTCCCTGTCATACCCACATGGAAGAACCAGATTGAGTTCCAGGCTCCCAGTCTTGGCCTGATGGTCCCCTGTTAGTGACATTTGAGGAGTTGTACCAGTGGATGGCAGATTTCTCTGTCTCTGTCTCTGTGTGTCTCTCTCATATACATATACTTGTCAAATAAAATGAAGGTATATATAAATAATTTTTAAAATATTTTAAACTTGATTTCACCAATCTGCTGTTCAAAGACTTTTTCAAAAAAAAAAAAAAAAAGGATTTATTTATTTGAGAGCAAAGTTACAGACACAGAGACAATGAGAGACAGGTCTTCCATCAGTTAGTTCACTCCCCAAATGGCTGCAATGGCCAGAGCTGAGCCAGTCCGAAGCCAGGAGCCAGGAGCTTCTTCTGGGTCTCCCCGACAGGTACAGAGGCCCAAGCACTTGGGCCATCTTCTACAGCTTTTTCAGGCCATAGCAGAGAGCTATATTGAAAGTGGAGCAGCCAGGACTTGAACCAACGCCCATATGGGATGCCGGTACTGCAAGAAGCCCCTTTACCTGCTACATCACAGTGCTGGTCTCATGTGTGAAGCCTTTATTGACTTCCCCAAAAGAAGAGCTTGCCCCCTCTCCACTATCTCACAGCACTCATTTGACACTAAAGACCCACCTTTAGACACTCCCCACCACCTTCGTATATTCACAAATATTTATTGAGTATCTACAGCACACTAGCCACTGGGCTAGGCTAGGGGTAGACAAGACAGACATGTTAACTCTTCACAGAGTTAACAGCTGGTAGAGAGGATAGGCAATTAAGCTAGCAGAACACAGAAACAAAGAGCCAGGGGGTGGGGGGGACACACAGAGAGAATGGGAGAAGGAAACCAGTGAGGGAAGCTAGTAAGTCCCCCCAGGATGCCTATGAATTTCCAGTGTGCCTATGAACTACTCACACTTATAAGCCTGCAAGCCCTGTATACAGCTGAATGTCCCCTTGGGCGTTTTATTACTTTAATTTGTAGGTAATGCCAAGGTCTGGGCAGAATGAGTCCCTTGGAGAGCATGAGGGAAGGTGTTTGACAGGCTGCACCGTTCTCTCATCTGTTCAGGCTCTACCTCATCCTAACTGGGAAGCCATTGCACAGAGGCCAAGTGGACCATCACTAGGAAGGAGGGACAGCCCAGGTACATTATTATTATTATTACTATTTAATATTAATTTACTTATTTGAAAAGCAGAGTTACAGAGAGGCAGAGGCAGAGGTCTTTCATCTGCTGGTTCACTACCCAGATAGCTGCTGCAGCTGGAGCTGGGCTGCTCCGAAGCCAGGAGCCAGGAGATTCTTCTGGGTCTCCCATGTGGGTGCAGAGACCCAAGCATTTGGGCCATCTTCTACTGCTTTCCTAGACCATTAGCAGAGAGCTAGATCAGAAATGGAGCAGCCAGGTCTTGAACTGGCACCTATATGGGATGCTAGCACTGCAGGGGGCAGCTTTACCCTCTATACCACAGCACCAGTCCCCCTGGTACATTATGAGTCCCATGATGCAGTACAAACCCATCCTCTGAGCTCAGGGCAGAGTGCTGTATTCTGGGACTTGTAGTCTCCATTGGAGGCCCCCCCCTTCTGAATGCCTAGGTTATTAGTTGGACAGTAGGAAGGGTGACATGACAAAGTTTCTGGCTTCTCCTCCTCTCCTTCTTGTGGTTAATGTCCAGCTCATCAAGTTGCCCAGGTGCTAGCAGAGTTAGATGAGCTTGCCACCAGCCTCCAAATTCCTAGGGCAGGCATTTGGCATAGCAGTTAGGATACCACTTGGAACTCCCATATCCCATATCAGAGTGCCTAGGTTTGAGTCCCAGCTTAGATCGTGATTCCAGCTTCCTGCTAATATGCATCCTGGGAGACAGCAGCTGTTGTCTCAATTCTCTGGGTCCCTGCCACCCATGCAAGAGACCTGGGTGGAGTGCCAGGCTCCTGGATTCTGCCTGATGCAGCCCTGGCTGTTGCAGGCATCTGGGGAGGGAACCATCAGACAGAAGATTGGTCTCTCTCCCTCTTTCTCTGCCTTTCAATTTAATGGAATAAATGAATACTGGAAACAATTCCCATGAGTCAACCTGGTATACAAGGTTCACCCCGTGTCATGCCTAGGCCTGGGGACACTGATCCGGGAGGAGTTTAGGAATACCTTCCAGGAGAAAAGGAGGAATATCAGCATACTTGCCAGCATTTCGCCGACTGCCCTGAGCCTGTCCCCCTTCTATTGGTAGAGCAGCTTCTTTCCTGCCTTCCTCACCTCACCTCTGCCCTCCATCACCCCTCCATCAACCCTGCCCCCTTCCAGCCATCCTTCTGCCACGGCCCTCTTTCCCCCAGCTTCTCAAATCGCCCACGCAGAAACCGTCTCCCTGGACTGACTCCACACACCACCTATGTGCTGCGTGGGATTGTGTACAGCAGCCACGCTGGCACCCCAGAGCCTGCAGGAAGAGGATCTGGACAGAATCCCACAAGCAGGGCTGAAAGACTGTGAGGGATGAGAGCATAAGTTTCCAGGGGTTGAGGTCAGGAAGGGCACCGGACAATGACTGGGGTCTGGAAGCTTTGGGGAGGAGCCAGGTTCATTGGAAATGGACTGAACACTAAGCTGCCCTTCTCTGGGGGAGCCACAGGGATGCCAGCCCTCCTCTTCCTCTACAGGAATAAGAATATCAGCCATGGGATCATGCACCCCCTTCATCCATTGAAGCTTTTCAAGAGAGTCCTTTCAGGGCCCCCTATGTCTAAGCAGCAGCCTTGGAGGTGGCAGAGCTGTGACTGTCCCTACCCCCCACTGCCTCACACCCTGCAAGCTTAGTTTCCATGTGTTGGAATGGTTCAACCTCCCTGGCTGCTCTCCTGGGCTTCCTTGGAATCTCTATCTAAAACAGCCCTGGGGACCCCCTCCCCATGCCTGGCCCATTCTCTCCGCCAGTTCCAAGGACCCAAGTGGGGATTGGCAGAAAGAGTCTGTGCCAACTAGCTATCACTGAGGTTTCTCCGGTTCTTCAGAGGAGCCAGGGCAGGATCGTGGCGATCAGTGCCACATGGGAACCCCGGACACTACTTCAGCTGCCCACAGCTTGGCCCAGGTTGCCTCCTGCCAAGTAAAGAATGTCTTCCTAGGATGCGAGTGCCACTGGCTTTTAACTATAATATCAGGATAATTAAGCTTTTCTGTGAGCACAGTTTGCTGCTGATGCAGCTGCCTGGAGCCCTGGCATTTATTGAGCGCAAAGTAATAATTTATTGTCCTTTGTACGCTCAAAAGCCATCTTCATTATCCACCCAGGACGGAGCTGCCACAAGGGCACGCGGGCCTCACCAGCTGTCTCACTCGCGGATGTCTTCCCAGGTCACCCTTGGCGGCCTCAGGTACCAGGCCGGTGTGGAGAAAGTGGGGAGGGATTGCTCTCACGGAGAATCGGGTTAGAACCCCCGACACACACCCTGACAGGCTGCTAATGGGAGAGAGGATGGCAGACCTGGCTGAGCACGGGCAGCACCAAAGGCCGAGGGCCGTGTGCCCCCATTAGTAGGGCAATCCTTCCCCTGAGCTGGCGGGGACGCGGAGACTGTGCGCCCGCCTGCCTCTGGGTCTTCTGCGCCTTTGCTTGAGACTTTACGGTAAGCCGCTCCTCCCGCGCCCCCGCCCCCAGCCCCGCGCGGCGATCCCCGGCGCCGACGCCAGGCGCTGGCCGTGGTGCTGATTCTGTCAGGCGCTGGCGGCGGCGGCGGCGGCGGCCCGGCTCCTTCTTCTCGGCCGGACCTGCTCTGCCCCCCTGCGCCCACGCCCCGCCGGGCCCCCCGCCCTCCTGTCGCGGCCCCCGCCCGGGGCGCGGCCGCGACCGGTACCATGCGCTTCGTAGCCCTGCTGCTCCTGCCTTTGCTGCTGGCGCTCCTGGCTCACGGTAAGGGACCCCGGCGTCCGGCGGCGGAACGGAGGCGGGGGTGGGGTCCCGGGGCCACCCAGCGAAGACTGTTCTGGCAGCCGGCCCCGCGCGTCCGGCGACCCAGCCCAAGCACAGAGCTCCGCCGGCTGCGCTGCCCCCGGCGCCGGCCGAGCCGGGCGGGGCGCGGGCTCCGCGGGCGGGAAGCTGCCGCGGCTCCCGCCATTCGCGCCCGGCCGAGACCTCGCCTTTAATCATCTCCCCGGATCTAATGGGATTTCTCTGCTGCAATTCATCACGCCACCCCCTCCCCGCACACACGCGCTCACCCGCGCGCTACCTCGCCACACTCCAGGCGTCTAGGGGCGCCGGGGCGCACGCGGGGACGCGCAGGGCAGCGAGTCGGGACGGTCCGGCTGGGGCCCCTCGGTCCCGCCTCCCCCGCCGCCCTCCAAACTTCGCTCGACTTTGCCGCCGGTTCTGGGGCCCCTCGCATCCTCACTGCAGAGGGACGGATAAAGACAGCGGCTAGGCTGGGGTTGATACGTTGCTCACCTCCTGCCCGAACCCAGAGCACAATTCTGGGGAGAAACTCTAGGGGCCCAGGGCCTTCCATTCAACTCCTCTCTCTGCCCTGGACTGCAGCAGCTGAGCTCCTGCGAGACTGTCCTCCCCAAAGTCCTTTCTTTGCGCGCACACACGAACGAACACACATTGCACACACCCGGAGCTCTGCCTCCCTCCGATCTCTCTGCCTGGCCCCCATTCACCCCACAGCAGCAGGCTCGTGCGGGAGCAACGGTTTCCCACCCTGCGGCTCCCAGCCCTCGCTTGGAGTCCAGTACCCAACTTCATCGGTCTGGGGTTGAGAAACACGGCCATGGAGTGGGTAGCAAGCAAGAGTTGGGGAGAGGATGCGGGTACTGTGCACCCGGGGTTTCTTGTCTGGATCTGCCGTCCCGGCTCAGACATGCTCTCTTTGCATCCAGCGAAGCTCAGGTCCTTCTCCAGTTGCTATGGATGAGCTGGTGATGGTTGCCAGAACCGTACTTAAGAGTTAGATTCGCTGTCCTCCGCCATTGGTTCATAACACCTGATATGGAAGGGGGAAAGATGGGAGTTTCTTACCCCTGGCTGAGTCTTCCCAGGCCACTTTGGAGAGCTACCTGACTGGGCTGGCCACCCGGCAATTTTCTTCTGCCACCAAAGGTCGTGGAAGCCCCTCTCCGAGCCTCCAGCTCCCCTGGCACAGCAGCCCCGTGTTTCTACCTTGCCACCTGGCAGCCCACACCAGGTCCAGTCCTCAGCAGCACAGGGAACTCGGACCATATGGTCATGATGGGGGGAGGAGGCGGAGTCAGACCAGCCGTGCCCTGGGAAGAGTTAGGGGAGGAGGGCTGTCTGCGGATGTCCCTCAGCATTTGGAACCTGTCTTGGGGTAGCATGTCCTCCCCACTGGGCAGCTCCCCAGGAGCTCAGGGGCTGTGTGTGTCCCCTGGCATGGAGCCTGGGGCTTGGATGTTGTGAGTCTGTCTCCATGTGAATGTAATCAAGGCCCCCCAAATGTGGAGCACTGGGTCCTGGTGTGTCTGCCCTCCCAAGAGCTGAATGTTGGGTGAGGGCTCAGCAGTGAATAGGGGTGAGGCTACTGGTGTGGGGATGCAGCCTCTGCCAGAGAGCTCCCTGCAGGACTGAAGGGAGACTGCGGATCCCCAGGAGGAACGCTGGTGTAGCTGGGAGTCCCAACAGCCCCACTGCGGGTGTAGGTGTGAGGATCGGTTGGAATCTGTACCCCCTGCAGTGGCTGAGTCTGTCTTCTGCCACTGCCCCTCTCTGACCCAGCAGGATCTCCAGTGCTCTCGTGGGGCAACCTGCTGAAGGCATGTGTGGGGAAGGGGCCAATGGTGGACAAGACATTGTACTCCGCAAGGGAGGCGAGGAAGCAGCCCGTAGTGCCAAGCCTGATGGGCAAGAGAGCCCAGAGGTCGGGGCTGGGTGGCCCAGAGGCTGCTCCCTCCCTAGTCATTGGGGTAGTGAGTCGTCTCGCTGGGAGGCAGTACCTTTGGCTGGCTGAGAGCTCCTGGGGACTTGAGCTGTGCCAAGGCAAGCCTCCTGGAGCCAAGGCCTTGGGCTTTGAGGCATTGCTGCTGGGCGATATGTTCCTCAGCTTCACAGTCCGGGGCCTCAAAAGAGCCTTCGGAGCTGTGTTCACACCCGGGACGCAGCCAGCCGAAGCTCAGAAGCTGCAGCAGGCTTGGGAGGCGGAGGCTGCTGAGGTGGGGCTGGGCCGGCCCAATCGGCAGATTTACTCCCCCCCCCCCCACTTGCCTCTGCAGCCTCAGGCGTTAGGGATGCGGTGGGCCCAGGGGCGCCCTCCAACCAGTGGGCGGGGCCCAGAGGATCCTGCCACAGTGGGGAACCAGCCAGTGCGGGAGGGGCTATGTGTGCTGGGCCTGCTGTGTCAGTTTAATGATTTTTAATGAGCAATTACCTTTAGTCATTCTCCTAATTTCTGAATATCAATAAAGTTAATTAAACTCTGCATGTGTGGATGTGGCCTGGGGAGTTTGTGAAGGTGGAAGTAGCTGAGACTGGGATGAGGTTGGGTCTCTATGGGGGGTGGCTGCCTCCCTGGCTGTGTGACCTTGGATTTGCTGCTCCACCTCTCTGAGCTGGCTGGAGAATGTGGTAGGAAGAGGGGCTGGAGGGTGGTAAGTTCAGGTTGTTCACTGCCCAGAACTGGGGACAGTGTCTGGGCGGTAAGACCTGGAAGGGGTAGGAGAGCAGGGGAAGAAGGACTTGGCCTCCCAGAGCCCAGTGCTGCAAGAGTTAACAAACTAGGCTTGCCTTAACCTAAAATGGTAATTACTGATTCCTGCAGACTCTTGGGGAGGTGCTGGCTTCTGACGGCACATTACTGAGTCTGGGGGCTGCTCCAAAAGCCCACACTAGACTCTGCTTCCTGTCCCCAGCCTGGCACTTGGGGATCTGGAAGTGGTGCTGGGGACAAGGCCCCTTGGGAGACAGTCTGGATTCTACTCGGAGCCCGGGGTTGACGTGGCAGGCAGGAGGCCCCTGGAGGATCGGAGACCACCATGGGCAAGAGGAGGAAGGAGGAGTCGGCTTTTTGCCCCTCTCAGGCCTAAGCTCATCAAGCTTGTCAGGCCCTGGCGGCCATCCCGGCTTCCTCAGCGGGGTGGCAACTTCAAGTACCTCCGGGACAGACACAGTGGGGTGCTAATGGGGAGCAAGGAGGCATGGGGGCGGGGCTTAATTAGAAACTTGGCTTAATTAGGAACTAAGCTTGGGTGGACCCTCAGCTTCGGTGCACCGTGGCTGCTTGCATGCTGCGGGCGGATCAAAAAGCCTGTCTCACCAGCCCCTCCTTCCCACCAGTCTCAGGTCCTCCAGCCTCCTCCCTCCGTCTTTGTCCCCACTTCTAGCCCCGTGAGGCCTCCACCGCCTGGCTGGGCTCCGCTCAAGATGCTGCTCCCTCACCTGGGCAGAGCTATCAGGGCTCCTTTCTCTACCTTTCCCAATCCTCCCCTCCCCCTGCCAAAAAAAAAAAAAAAAAAAAGCCATGTAAAAGGCCCCTAGGCAGGGAAAACTTTGGTGAGGGAGCAGTGGTCAGCCTGGGTGGTTAAGAGCCTGGGCTCCCACGTGGCCTCTCTGGGCCTCCACCTGGAGTCTTTCATGCAAGGGTGCACCAAGCCTGCGGTGCCCAAGTCCAGGAGCACACTGGCGCCTCAAAGGGCTTCTCAGATCATGCAGAGTAATTCTGAGTCCTCAGCCCTCTGACCTCCTCTCACGGAGGGGAAGCCACATTGTATAGACTAGAGGTCCCTGGAGGAGGCAGTGCTGCCAGTCCCAGTCTGCAGCTGGGAGGTGGGAATCAGGCACTGGGAGGTCTCCAAAGCCAGTTCCCACAGGAAGCAGCAGTTCTGGGAAGCCAAGCCAGAGGCGTTTCAGCTTCCGTTTCCCAAACTGCCAGATTCTCAACAGCTTCTGAGCTCTTGCCATTCCTTCTGCCGAAAATTCTTTTCCCTCCTGGGCCAACCTGGCTCAGTCTACCACATGCTTCAAGTATTGGCTAAGCTGGCACTTCATTTAAAGGGCACCTACTGTATGATTTGGCAGGGGAAGTCTCAGCTTCCTCCAGCCTGGGCCGGGGGCTTCTGTGCTCCCAGCACGCCGTGGCTTCCCCTCTCAAGGTACCCTCGTGCTGGGTCACTGGTGCCTGGTTGCCTGCTGCTCTGCAGCAGCAAGACTGGACTCAGAGGACCCCAAGTCTGTTCGGCTTGACCTCTATCTTGGGGAAGCTCCACACTGCCTATTTGGAAGAAGTTTGGGGTCAGCTGGCTGATTCGAAAGGAGAGGTGGGACCATGGCAGCTGGGACTGCGTCTTGAAGCTGAGTTTGCGTAGCAAGCACACTATTTTTACATAGATTGTGTGTTAGGATTTTTTCCATTCCTAACAGTTGGCCAATTATCCCAACTGTAAATTATGGCCTTTACTTAGTTTTTCCCTTCTACAAATTAAGCTGTCACGCCATCAGCCTGAGGTAGCTGGGGGGTGGGGCTCTGGTGGCCATTCTGAGTGGGCCAAGGCCCCCCCTCTCCCCAGTCCCTTGAGTGTCTCCACAGCTTGTGTCCCCTCTGGCACAGGGAAGACCTTAGTCCATGTTGAATAAATTTGTGAGAGTGATACAGGTAGACATGGTGGAGGTAAGACCAGGGTCCCTCTCAAAGCACTCATCCACTACCCCTGTGGCCGAGAGAGGCCTTGTGTGAACCTAGGGCCCCAGGGAAGGGAGAGACAACTGTGTATCATCTGTCTCCTTAGTACCCACATCCATCTCAGTTTTAGACACCCTCACTCAACTGGAAGGGACCAACATGGAGCAATTCTGAGCCTGCATGCTGTTTTGTTTTGTTTTTGACAGGCAGAGTGGACAGTGAGAGAGAGAGACAGAGAGAGAGAAAGGTCTTCCTTTTTCTGTTGGTTCATCCCTCAATGGCT